CTGAATCATCAATCTAACAAATCAGAGATCTGAACTGGACATTCGCATGAAAGGCATTTCAGACATTTCCCAGAATTCCCTGCAGCATCTGGCCCCGATCCAGTCAGAATCGCCTCAGCCCTTGCACCGGCCCACCTCAAAACCTGCAGGTAATCTGTAAGTAGAGCTCCCCCTATTCTCTGATTGGAGATTGATCCCCTTTACACCAACACCACGCGTCCACAACACGAAGGGAGGACAAATCAACTTGTTCATCGCACTGAGGTACAGTGCATAGGTACATCCCACATCCCCCCATCCCCCACAACCTGTAGTCCATTGCACTGGGCACCGTCACCCACGAAGAAGCAACAAGCCTGTTTGAAACCCAAGCACCGAGTGGCAATCAATTCTTTTCCCGTGTCCCATTCTCTCATTTCCTCGCATATCTTTCCTACATACTCCTGCAGCCATCCCTCCACTCAATGCTCTTTAGTCCCATTATTCTTGTTCCTCCTTCTTATTAGTTGTCTCTAGGTACCTAGTGGCGGCGCTTCCTGATTCCCATCTAGGTTTAATAATCTCGACGTGCATCCAAGACATCGACCTTCGCGCCAATCCTTCTCCATCTCTGGCCTCCATTGGCGCGACCACCCTGCCTTAGGACGACAACTGAGATGCAATAAGACCTGTCGATTCCCACCAACACATCCTTTCGCCCACTTTTCTCTTATTCCCCTCTTACGCTGGCGGACGAAGACTGGCTTGCTCCTGTTCCGAATTCGACGATACAATTGTTTAAGAAAAATAAATAAACAATCGCAAGAAACAACATCTTGCATCAAGGTTGTCGACTATTCTTATTGAAGCTTGCGCTAGTCGCTGTCGTCGCTCATCAGCGACTTTAATCAGTGTCCAGTCAATCGATCTTGGTTGCCCCAGATCGAATCAAATTGGAACCGGTTCAATTGCGGATTTGGATCCCCTCACTCTGAAGTCCACGTCGAACCCTACAGCAATGGCTACCGTTACCCGCCAACCCTTCGCACCTCTCGATGGCACCCGCCTACAGACTCTGACGAGTCTGAAGAATAGGCAGAATGGTAAGTTGCGGGGAGATTCAGAGTGTCTTGTCAAGCATCAATGTCAATCGCGCAGGGTTTTGTCACCATCCCGTTCAATTCCAGTAAACACAATTCAGTGCACAATCAATTAGAATCCTAATTTAGAGCACCCGCAACCTATCCGTATTCTGAACCTCCTGCTAAACAATCTACAGCTCTTTCCGTCACCTCACCCGTGAAGCGAAAGGCCGCCGACAGCCTGGACACTGACGATTTCGAGAATGTTGACCCACTGCAGTTCTCCAAGAGATCGAAGGGCTCGGACAACCTCTTCTCCAAGGACTCATTCGTCAAGCCGGGCTGTTCGTTCATCCTCACCAAGTCGGCCAGCACCAACAATCTCTCTCTGGCTAGCACACCTAAGCACGCCTCTCCCCGCGCGCGAGCTCTACTCAACCCGAAGTCGCCTGTTGCTAAGCTCAACGCCGGCATCGCCAAGTCAACTCCTCTCTCGGCTCCCGCTGGCCGATCTCCAACCCGCGGTAAGAGGGCCGGTATCCTATCCCGCCGTCGCACGGGAGCAGGATTCAGCCGCGTCGACCCGCCGCCAGTCTTTGGTCTAAGCACTACATCTTCGACTCCATTCTCACTCGATGCCGCTCTTAAGGGGACCATTCCGAGCTACTCAGATCGAGATACCGCCTTGATCGTGGCCAAGCCCTCTGACAGCCTGCTCGACGGCGACATGAAGTCGTCGTGGTTCTTCGACATCCACGAGGACACGCCGGATCAGGAGATGACCAACCTGCTTCAGCACAGCACTCGCGTCCTGGATATCAGCTCGGACGAGGAGAGCGAGAGTCGACGACAGCGAGAGCGAGCTGAAGGCAAGGAGAACGTCCCGCCCATGGACGACGTTTCTCAGACCTCGCGACCGCGAGCTGCGCGAGCTGCCGCCCTGTCAGACGACCTCATGGTGTTTGAAAAGGAGCGCAACCCGCTCGGCGAGATGGACGTCCGCGAGTACTACTCGGAAGGAGTAGACGAGAACTCTGTCATTATTATCCCTGGTGATGACGAGGATGATGACCAGCAGCCGCAGCTGCAACCCCAGCTGAGCGATAATGTCTTCCAGCCCACTCCGCAGCTGCGAGCCGTCGAGAGTGACCCTCCTAGCCAGCCTACCAGCGTACAATCCGTCGACGAGCTGATGCAGAAGACGGACGAGCCGGCCCCTGGCGCTGCTGTCCTCGAGCCGATGGAGGGCACGGGCGAGAACTTCGAGGTCTGGGAGAGCGGAAGTGCTAAGGATGAGGCAGAGACGACGGTAACGGGGACGACGGCGGAGTGTTGAGCAGGGCGGACGGGTGTCCAGGACGTGGTACTGAATTGACTGACTTACTGAATGACGGATTTCTCTCAGTCTGGTAATACCTGGATGCTATATCTGGCGAGAGGCGTTGTCGGCTGGTGTTTGCCGGAGTATGGATCGCGTTTGGGCAGGAACAGGTTGTTCCTCGTATTGCTTCACGTTGCTTTGGCTTGCTACTATGGACTTTGTACATACTCCTGTTTTGAGTATATCGCCGCGTTGAGCACACCCCAATACACGCTCTGAATTACTACCTTTCCCTGTGCCTATCTAGTACCGATGACCACGAAAAAATGTCTAAGATCGCCTGGATACCTAGGCACCTTAGGTAGGCCAAAGTTCAACAGGATGGCTGACTGGAGAGTCAACATAGCTCCAATGTCTGTTCATCTACGCCTACACCCGCCAGGTTTTGACGTCTCTCACATCTTCAACTAAACGCCAGAGGTTCTAACAATAGCCATCATGCATAAGAGAGGCGCTTGGAAGTAGCAAATACAGGTTGTGCAGTGCCATGGGGGGCCTCAAAGGCTAGAGCCAGAACATCAACGAATGATTCAACAATTACGTAACACAATGTGGCTCCACTTATACGCGCTCACACTAAGAACACTAGGAGAGAAGTCGCGATACATGCGGCCACACCCTCTGCCCATCATTCGACATCATATCATGTCTGAAGGCCTTTAAGAAGACCGAGTCGGCAGCCAATCTTTCGTAGTCGTAATTCTCTGCCATATCCAATTGACACCTGCATGATTATCACAGCTTACCCAAACTCAAACTCCCAAGTAATTGGTTCTTCAGCCATCTCGCGTTACTACTACCTAGAGACTTACGGTGTCAATTTTCAGCTATCTTGATCCTGATCCTAGTACTTTGACACTTCGTAAAGTACTAATTGAGTTCGCAACCAACCAATCCACGGCAGCGGCAATAATGGCCTCGATAAACGACCTCGCGACCGCCGCGACGATCGCTTCGTCCGCGGTTGCGCTGCAAACCTCGCCTACACAGGACGCGGCGCGCCCCGCCCCCGCCCCAGCCCCAGCCCACTCAACCCCCCCGCGCTCACCACCACCACCAACCGCGGGCCCCGCAACAGCAACAGCAGCAGCAGCAACAACAGGCACAGGGCCCCGGCCGACCTCGTCGGGGCCAGAAAAGGCCACAGACGAGCGCGAGACGGAAGACGGAGACTCGATCACGGTAGCGACAGGCGCGCCGGTACTAGCCGCGCCCCGCATCTCGCCGCAGAATCCGTCGCAGGCGCAGATCCCCGTCCCTCCCCCTCCAGCCGCCGCGACGGGCCCCGCGACAGCGGTAGACGCGGGGGTCGCGAACGGGAAGGTGGACGACGACGACGCCATGGACGGCGTCGAGATGACGGCGGCTACGGCTACGGCGGAGCCGGTGCGCGGCGCTTTCATCGTGTTCGAGGGCATGGATCGCGCGGGCAAGACGACGCAGGCCAAGCTCTTGCAGCAGCGGTGCATTGAGAGTGGGCGCGATGTGCAGTTTTTGCGGTTTCCTGGTGCGTTACTCGCCAACTGACTTGATACGACATGGCATTATATTTAATGCATGGTGCAATCCTCTTTTGGGGGGGTTTTGCTGATTGTATTGGTGTAATCTAGATCGGACCACGCCCATAGGCAAGATGATCGACTCGTATCTGAAGGGGGAGGCGGAGATCGAGGACCACGTTATTCATCTGCTGTTTAGCGCTAACCGGTGGGAGGCTGTGTAGGTGATCTCTTTTTCTCATCTTTCGTTATACGTATCCAGTACTTGTGGGAGCAAACCGGGTATCTCTTACTTACTGACCTCTTTCGCAGCAAGAAAATCCAGGCGGAGCTCGAAGCCGGGCATACCATCATATGCGACCGCTTCTACCACAGCGGCATCGTGTACAGCGCCGCCAAGAACATCAAGAGCCTGTCTCTGTCCTGGGCCAAGGCGCCCGAGGTCGGGCTGCCCAGGCCGGACATGGTGCTGTTCCTAGACCTGGAGGAGCAGGTGGCGCGCGAGCGCGGCGGCTGGGGCGGCGAGGTGTACGAGAAGGGCGAGATGCAGCGGCGCGTCAGGGATCTGTTTTGGGGCCTTAGTATGGGAGACCTTGGCAGCGCCGTGGGCAGCAACAGTAACAGCAGCAACAACAATAATAACGGCAGCAGCAAGGCGCCGAGGAAGGACGTGGAGAGGAACGGCGCGGGTAGGGGGGATACCGGCGGCGAGGATGGCGAGTTCAGGCAGGAGGAGGAGGATATCCAGATCGTGGATGCAGACCTGGGGGTGGAGGAGCTGTCCGAGAAGGTCTGGGAGGTGGTGCTGCCGAGGTTGCAAGCGGTGGAGAGAGGAGAGGTTGGGAGGATTGTGCGAACGGTGCGATAGCTACCTACCTGCCTGCCTGCCTACCTTCCTTCGATGTCTTCGGATAGTGGTAGCGATGAAGTGAAGCTTCCCTAGGTATTCATAAGGTTAGGAACCTGTTTGCTGGTTTCGTCATTTGCTACAGGAACATGAAACTGCTATCGATACGAGATAGGTAGATAATTCGGAATCGCAAGAGACTTGTTCATATGGGTCTCATGGTCTAGTTGGTTATGGCGTCTGTCTAACACACAGAAGGTCCCCAGTTCGAACCTGGGTGAGATCACATTTTTGTCTCCTTTGCTGATCGTGAATGGGAGGTAAGTATGACCAGGTACTTGGGTAGGTGCCTAACTTTCCAGAGGTATCATCTTGATACTTTGGCAGCTATCGACGTCATGGAGACCGATTTAGGACTATTTGGTCTGGAAATAGCAACTCGTCGAGGTTCTTAACACTCTCTAGAGTATTCAACCTTGATGTTACTTGCAGTCTGAGTTGGGAGTTGGCTACGGCTACTACGGTGACTTGATGATTTACAATAGCCAACGTCGTAAGGGCGACGGGATGGGCGAAAGCAACAGTTATTTAGCATGCACAGTCTACTGGCGTTCATGGGGATATCTTATAGTCAAGTGTACGTGTATTAGGGCTTAGGTAAATAGAAACGATACGTGGAGGATAGAGCCATTCAAACGCACGCCATCATTTTTCCTCCTACAGGGGTTATCCCTTCTCCCTGTTATCCTTGGAACACAATCTTCCCAGGCCCTAACAACTACCGCAGATCCTTGAAGTTCCCTAGTCGTCGGTGTCGTCGGTGTCGCCGATGTCGACAACCTCTCTGTGGAAAGGAGGCATGTGGTGACTGATGGCGAGCTTCTTGTTCAGCTTCGTGACGCGACTCTTCAGGAGTCCGGTGAGCATGACTCCCTCGAGTCGGTCGAGGTTCTCGAACTCGCACAGGGTGATCGTCTCGGTGATGGCGAAGTAGAATCCGAAGACGTCGGTCAGCGTATTCGGTCCGTCGCCGAGACGCGTGCGGCCCATGATGTAGGCGAACATGGCGACGTTCTTGTAGAACTCGTCGGGCTGGGCGTCGAAGTTGAAGTCGTCCTCGGACGCGATCTGGATGAAGGCGCGGTTCTTCACCATGATGAGAAAGACGGAGATGTTCGTTCCCCAGAACGAGGCGACGACACAGCGGAACCACTCCTTGTCGCGGTAGAAGCAGTTGTGCAGCTTGGCGACGTACTTGTCGTGGTCGAATCCGAAGTCAGGGAATTCGTCGTAGAAGGTGACGTTGGTCGATGCCGAGGTCGTCGGGTGCGGGGGGTGCAGGCAGGCCAGGACGCCCTCCCACGACCAGGCAGGTCGATCGTAGACTCGCTCATGCTGAGGGATCTTGACGTTGTTCTCCGCGATGTTATAGGTCAGGATCTCCATGAACAGATTCTCCTCACGCTCGTAGGTTGGGGCGGTCGACGTTGCAATGATTCCCTCCATACGGTTCGGATCAACCAGAGTCGGGTTATCAGTCGCCTCGTCCAGGAGATATCGCATATGAGGCTCCTGCATGCTGAGGAGCGCGGCTGCCTGGAGAACTGCCGGGATGGAGTCGAAGGTATCCATGTTGGCGATTCTGGGAGACTGAAGTTGTGAGGTTAGCGTCTTTCTTCCAGGTTTTGGCTCGAGTGTGTACGCGCAGGTGAGTATGGGTAGGAAGCTTGGATCTGATCCGCTTCCTCTAGACGTACCTGGATGAGATTGGATGTAGTTATCTGGGGCTAACCTTATGGTTGATAGTAATTGATAGAGGCAGTTGATAGACTACGAAACGAGTGTGGTGTGTTGTTGCGGATTCCTTCAACACAGAGTAGAAGGATGCCACAACGAATGATGAGACGTGTTGTTTTGAAAAGAAGAAGAGATTGGAATTGGAAATTAGAATAGATCTGCTTTGTAATTATTTCTCGTGGTAAACCGGCAGGAGGTTAGGTACCTGGTTTGGGTCAGATCGGCTCTTCATGGATATTTCATAGCCGGCTCCGAGTGGTTGGAGGGCCTCGAAATCGTCGACTACCAGAGCATGGACCGCCTACAAAGGCTCAACGACGTGATGGAAAGTAAACGTCTCATTGTTTTCTACATTTGCAACAACTCATCACGTAAAACATCTTGGGCGAGCTTTTGTTCTTGATGATTACGATCCGGATCGAGAGACCTAACCTCCAATAAGTATCGTGGTCTCAAGCTTGATCTAGGTTTCACTACTTTTCATCAACCACAATATTACCATACAGAAAAAAACTGAAAGTATTTTGGGGTCTTTGTCGAAATCCGAAGAATCACACAGCATAACGAAAAGTGTGGTCTGTGGCAAGCTGTCTAGTTCAGGCCGCGTGCTGGATATCAACATTCTGTCATCAACCTTGACTCCTTGAAAGCTTCAACAACCATCAGGTTTCTTTAAGAAAGGGCAATACATAGAAGCTGATAAAGCTTAGAGGAAAAATATTATCAGCTTTGGAGGTGTTCCAAACTGTCTTCCCAGAACAGCAGACTCCACGACAAGAATCACCTGGCATCACGCTTCATAAAAAACCCATCATCAGCAACCTCTCAGTGTTTTCCAAAAGATACCACGATATCGTCATCAAGTAAGTCCATCACCTCAAGTTGAAAAACCACATTTCTAATCCTTCTCTACCACCAGGATCCCGTACCATCATTAACCCTCAACCCTACACCCAATCCCATCCAACCCGGCAGCCAACAAGATGTCCGAGGTCACAACCAAGAAGCGCGTATCCAAGCAGCAGCTGGAGGCAGACAAGAAGCTCCTCCGCCAGCTCAAGAGCAAGGTCAACGAGATCAAGCTGCAGAGGATCGAAGAAGCGACCCACACCAAGACACACCACGACCTCGCCAACAACCTCCGATTCCAACTGCCGCACATCGAGTGCGAGCATCCTGAGAACAAAGATGCCAGCACGAACCAGATGGAGCGTCTGCGTCTGCGCAGCGTCAAGGCCGCCCGCGAGGAGGCCCGCGCCCAGCCGCCACCCGCGCCCGCCAAGCCCAAGCTCGCTAGGTTCTGCGTCTACTGTGGCGAGATCAGCTTGAAGAAGGACGTGTTGATCAGCGACGAGTGTTTGTTCCTGGGCAGATGCACCGACAAGCGCGACTTGCAGGTCGAGTTCCAGTGGATGCAGAGCGAGCATGACAAGTTGCGCGAGCAGAACATGGATAACCAAGTGGATAACCAAGGGTCAACCTGGAGTCGCGATGACGTGTTTGAAGTTGGAGGGCTTCAGTGGAGATAGGTGTAGGTTGCTGCCGCAGAGACCTTGAAAGCTTTTTGTTAGCCCTCTGAGCCGGGTTCCTGATGAGGTTGGTTGGGCTGCGGACGTAATTTGTTGCTTCATTGCTTGAAATGCCGGCAGACTTTGGAGAGTTGCAACCTTGTTGCTCGAGCTTGTCATGTAGTTACTACAGACAAGACACACTCCTGCGGCTTTAATAAATTGGCAGTAATCACGATGGACTTCTGAGTGTTTCTCGCTTACCCCTTACTTTTGTGATATCGTTCAATATTCAGATGCCCCATCCGTCTTCAAATATATTTGTTCAGCTTCTTGTGCTTCATAGCGTTTCTCGTCTTCTCAGCTCGTCACATGCTTCCAATCGATATGTACAGCTGACGCCCACAGTAGGATTGCAACTTTAGGACTACCATTCCTTCTGTTGCACAAAAGAGTTACAGCCATCGCGAGTCACCTCCTGAACTGACAACCCCCAGACTGTATTACTACGCAGCCACGTGGAGCGGCCAGCATTTCAAATTATCCGATTCCCTTAGGAGCGTCGACGATTGCATGGTATGCGTTATTTCATTCAGCAACATATGCAGTCGAGAGGATCCTACTGAAACGTAGATTTTTATATCTCTCTATGGACAGGCTAATTATAGTTGTCGCGTTGCCCTATCATTTGTTGATGACCTCATGACAGCAAGGACAGGCACCTCGTCTCCAAGATCCAACACAATGGACGTAAACTTGAGAATTACAGTATTTGATTAAAAGAGGGAGATGCTCGATGGACTATACATGGTTATCTATCAACATACTTGACCGCCTTAATCAGAGGTATTACGATATGGGGCTGGTTGTAGCTTCAAAAACAAATACTAGTAATACTTTTCTAGATCTCTCGATGGTGGGCGAAGCCCGAAGGCACGAGGAGGAGAAAACGCTGCAGAGAAGTAGGCCAAGTGATAAGCATTAGGAAATCCTGCATATGTTCAACAAACGACGCCATGCCTTGCCATGCCAATAGTAAACCCCAAAGCCCTTCATCAGTCTTCGCTCTCTTTTGCAGAACGTAACACGACCATAGTCCGGGAGCTCACGCCCTCCAGCGCCGAGCATAAGAGGGGTACATGTAACCCAGTGCTATAGAGGACGCAGGTGACGGGGCACTTGCCGCCGTACCCGCAGTCGTGATATTGGATGTATTCGCCGCCAAAGTGTAGTTCAGCTGTGAGGCCACCGAGGTCACATACGGCGCAGCGGGGGTGGTACTGTTAAGAAACAACGGTAAAGTCTCGTGAGTCATGAGAGGAACCAAAACGGTGGTAGTTGTGTCTGGCGGAGTTGTGTCGTAAATAATTGGTATGATTATTTCGGTTTCGTGGCAAATTTCAACAACCTCGGAAATCGTGGTGATTACATGGACTGTTTCGACTATATGAACAGTCGATATCTGCGGCGGTAGATGTACAAACTCGGTAATAGTGGCAATTTGATGAGAAACGACGGTAACCGGGACGCTGACGGCCACTGATTCTTTCACGGTGACCGGGATACTCAAGGCTTCCGTCTTGGTGACGATGAAACTTTCTTCAACGATAATCGGGATGGTGACGGCAACGCTCTCTTCGACTGTCGAGGTCTCGAGCTTCGTTAAGGTGGTAGGGATTGTAATAGCAATGCTTTCCTTTACCGTTTCGAGCTTGGTCAAGGTAGTGGGAAGCGAAACAGCAATGCTCTCCTCAATTGTCTCGAGTTCCGTCAGGGTGGTGGGAACTGCGACGGCGATGCTCTCCTTGATCGTTTCGAGCTTTGTCAAGGTAGTAGGAAGCGGAACGACAATGCTTTCTTGAATAATATCGACTTTCGTTAAGGTGGTAGGAACAGTGATAGCAATGGTCTCCTTCAAGGTCTCCAGTTTCGTTAGGGTAGTAGGAACAGCAACAGCAATACTCTCTTGAATTATCTCGAG